GTATCTCCTACAACCCAGTTTCAATCAAGCAATTGATTAGTTTTTTTTTTTTTGGTAAAAAAGCAATTGATTAGTTGGTAACTGAAAGTCAGCCGTCCTAGCCGCCTAAACATGTTCATTGTTGGAAGCCTGTACTTGAGAAATTTCATGAAGTGGGTTGGGGTTTGCGTTTTTCTCCAAATTGGGATGTTCTCTATCTACCTGCACATCCTCCTGCCAATACCCAAAAGAAGGTGTTTTTTTAAGTTTAGTGAAAAATTACGAATATCTTCCAACCAAGGGTCCAAACCGGTACTCGTCTCTGTCAGTCTCCACCAACCTTCCCTCTATCTCTATATCTCATGCAATCCCAGCAACTTTTCTATTTGTGTTTTATTCTCTGTGCTCCAAGAAAATTGAGGAATTGGGAGAGAAAGCATGGAGGAAAATGGGTTACTCCCAAGGTCTACTCTTTTAGCACCAAATCCTCGCGTGATTAGTGAAGACAACTTGATAGAGAGTGATTCTGCAGTTACCCCTGTGGTCGTTTTCAGCACCTTGGTTGCTGTCTGTGGTTCATTTGGTTCTGGGTGTTCTGTAAGTACTGTTTTCTTCTAGCTCCCTATGTGGGTTTCATCTTTTGGTTTGGAGCTTTGATTTTTAAGTTGTCATTCTATATTTCCATGTAATTTTAGGTCAGAATGTTAGGAAGGAAATTAAACCGTTTAGTTTTCTTTCCTTTACACTGGAATGGCCAGGTACCGGGTCCAGGACCTGGAGGGACCCAAGGTTTTGGTCTACATTGTTAGCCTTAAACTTAAAAGTATATGTTTCTTCATTGGATGATTTTCGAGTTTACTGAAATCATTCTTACTCTTAGAAAAGAACAATGTTGGTTGGGATACATTTTACTTTTCTTTCTTTGGATTCGGCAGGGAGGCATGTAGTGATTTTTTTGACAATGAATTAAGTACATTTTTTGCTTAACCATTTATTTTAGTCTGATCTATGTTGGTATTTTTGATTGCTCTGCAGTCAGGATTTTCATCCCCTGCTGAATCCGGAATCATGGAAGACCTGGGCCTCTCTACTGCAGCAGTAAGTATTCCCTTTTTCCTCCTTTTTCTATTCAAAAGAAATGTTGATCTTAACTAAGTAGTGAATACCAAAAACTAATATTATTCAACCAACTGTAACTTTTTGTTTTTCTGTACTCTAAAGATGCATTTCTTCCCAGATTGATATTGTTCCTCCTTCTGCAGTACTCAGTATTTGGTTCACTACTTACGGTTGGAGGAATCATAGGTTCATTAATTAA